TCAGCAAACTTCAAGAAAACAATCCAGAAATTTATCAGGGAGACTGAAAAAAAAAATATAATGAACAAAATAAAAAATGCAATAAATAACATTAATAGAAGAATTGATCATACAGAAGAATTTGTGAGGTACGACAGGCTGTTTGAAAATATTCAGTCAGGAGGCAAAAAAAAAAAAAAAAAGATGAAAGAAATGAAGAAAGCTTATGGGACAACATCAAAAAAGCAAATATTTGGGTCACTGCAGTTCAAGAGAAAGTAGAGAAAGACAAAGGGACAGAAAGCTTATTTAAATAAATAATAACAGAAACTTTTCCAAAACTGAAGAAAGCAATACATATCCACTATAGGAAGGTCAAAGTTACCAATCAGATTAATCTAAACGACACTGCCTTAAGACATACTGTATGCAAACTCAAAAGTCAAAGACAAACAAAATCTTAAAAGCAGCAAAGCAGCAAGAGTAAAGAGGCAAATAACATAGAAGGAAGTTCCAATATGCTTGGCAGCAGACTTCTAAGCAGAAATTCACAGGCCAGGAGGGAGTGCAATGAGTCAAAGTACTGAGGGAAAACAGTTGTGACATCCAAAGTTAGAACACAAAATATTCAAAAGGTGGAGGGAGATAAAGTGTTGAGTTTGTTTAGTAATCAATGATACCTGTTATCAGTTTAAAATAACCTGATATAATTGTAAGACTTTTTCTTGTAAGCCTTTTGGTAACCACAAAAAAACTATTAATAGATACACTAAAATTAAAACATATTATAAGAGAAAATCATTTGACCAAAAAGGAAGACAGTGAGAGAAGATGAAATATTTAAAAAACAAATAGAAAATAATTAGCAAAATGGAAGTAGTAATTTCCTACCTATCAATAGTTCCTACCTATCAATATAAATGGACTGATTCTCCAATTATAAGACAGAGTAGTTGAATGCACTAAAAAATCCAATTATATGCTACCTAAAAGAGATTAACTTTACCTGTAAGAATACAAATAGATGGAAAGGAATGGGCAGAAAAAAAGATATTCCATGCAAATTGAAATCAGAAGATAGCAGGAGAAGCTATACCTGTATGAGATAAAATAGACTTTACATCAAAAACTGTAAAAAGAGACTAGGTCATTACATGATGATAAAGGGGTCAATTCAGCAAAAAGTTATAACAATTGTAAATACATATGCACAATGAACATGGGAGAAAATATATAAAGCAAATATTAAAAATCTGAAGGAAGAGAGACTGCAACACAATAATAATAGAGGATGTAAAAACTACACTTTCAGTAATAGACAGATTCTTCAGACAGAATATCAACAAAGAAACAGTAGATTTAAACCGCAGTCTAGACCAAATAGATCTAACTGATGTTTACAGAACATTCCAGCCAACAGCTGAAGAAAACATATTCTTATTAACTGCACATGGAACATTCTCCAAGATAGATCATATATTAGGCCACAAAAACAGTTTTAAAAAATTTAAATTCAAAATTATATCAGTATCTTTTCTAAACATAATGACACAAAACTAGAAATTAATAATAGAATAAACTCTGGAAATATTACAAATATCTAAAAATTAAACATGCTACTGAACCACCACTGGGTTAATGAATTAAAAGAGTAATTTAAAAAAGTTAAGACAAATGGAAATGGAAACACAATATACTAAAATTTATAGGATACAGCAATAGCAGTTCTAAAAGAGAAGTTTATAGTAATAAACACCTACACCAAAAAAGAGGAAAGATCTCAAACTACCTAATCTATTACCTCAAAGAATTAGAAAAACAAGAACAAACTAAATTCCAAATTAGCAAATGGAAAGAATAATGATCAGAGCAGAAATAAACAAAATAGGGACTTAAAAAAAAAAACTAAAAAAATAAAGGGTTTTTTTTTTTTATTTCCTTTTTTTTAAAGAAACAAAACCAACAAACCTTTAGCCAGACTAGGTAAAAAGGATAGCTGCCTCAAATAAATAAAATCAGAGATAAAAAGAATAGATATTACAACTGATACCACAGATATACAATAGTCATGAGACTATTATGAACAATTATATGCCAATAAAATGAAAAACCTAGGAGAAATGAATTCCTGTATCACATTACCTTCCAAGACTGAATTATGAATAAACAGAAAATCTGAACAGGCCACTAATGAGAAAGGAGACTTGAATCAGTATTAAAAAGTCTCCTAACAAAGAAAGGCCCAGGACCTGATGGCATCACTGCTGAATTCTACCAATAGTTACAGAAGAACTAATATCAATTTCTTCTCAAAGTGTTCAAAAAAATTGAAGATGAAGGAGTTTTTCCTAACTTGTTCTACAAAGCCAGCAATTACACTGATACAAAAAACAGACAAAAAAGGAAAACTACAGGCCAATATCCCTGAAGAATAGTCGGAAAAACACTGAACAAAACTATGAAACTGAATTCAACAGGACATAAAAAAGGTAATTCACCATGATCAAGTGGGACCCATCCCAGAATATAAGAATGGTTCAACATAAACAAATCAATAAACACAACACACCACATTAACAGAACAATGAAAAAAAAAAACAAAAACCGTAAAATGACTTGAACAGATGCAGAAAAATCATGACAAAATTCAATACCTCTTCATGATAAAAACTCTTAATTAGGTATTGAAGTGATATGCCTCAACACAATAAAAGCCACATACAACAAACCCACTGCTAACTTAATACCAAATGGGAAAAGTTGAAAGCCTTTTACTCTAAGACCTGGAACAGGATAAGGATATCCACTTTTCCCACTTTTATTCAACATAGTACTGGAAGTTCTAGCTAGAGCTAGTAGCCAAGAGAGAAAAATAAAAGGAGGAAGTTAAATTGTCTCTATTTGTAGATGATATGATCCTATACACAGAAAACCCTAAGGACTCCACCCAAAACTGTAACAACTAATAAAAAAAAAAAAAACTGAGTAAAGTTGCAGGACACAAAATCAACATACAAAAAAGTAGTATTTCTATATGTTAATAGCTAACTATCTAAAAATGACACAAACAATCTCATGTATTACCAAAAAAACACCCAGAAATAAATTGAACCAAGGAGATGACAGATCTCTCAAATAAAAACTATAAAACATTAATGAAAGAATTTGAAGAAGACACAAATGGAAAGATATGTATGTTCATGGATTGGAAGAATATTGTTATAATGTCCATATTGCTCAAAGTGATCCATATGTAATGTGATATCTATCAAAATACCAATGACATGTTTCACAAAGTAGAAAAAAACAATTCTCACATTTATATGGAACCCTAAAAGACTGTGTATAGCCAAAGCAATCTTGAGCAAAAAGAGCAAATCTGGAGACATCAAAGCATCTGCCTCCAAAATATATTACAAAACTATAGTAACCAAAACAACTTGCTACTGGCATAAAAACAAACACCTTAACAGAACAGAGAACCCAGAAATAAATCCATGCATATACACACAGTCAATTGATTTTTGACAAAAGTGCCAAGAACATATGTTGGGGAAAGGACAGTCTTTCTTCAATAGTGGTGCTGGGAAAAATGAAGAAATATCTGTATGTCGAAGAAAAAAACTAGATCCTGTCTCTTATCATATACAAGAATCAATTCAGAATGAGTTAAGGAGGACTTAAATGTTAAGACTTGAAACTACGAAAATACTAGAAAACAAACAGGGGAAATGCTTCGTAACATTGGTCTGGACAAGGAATTTTTGGGTAACACCTCAAAAGCACAAGCAAAAAGACAAAAAATAAATAAATGGACTTACAACTAAAAGGCAAAGGAAACTATCAATAAAGAGACAACCTATGCAATGGCAGAAATATTTGCAAACTATACATGTGACGACACATGGTTAATATCCAAATATATAAGAAACTCAAACAACTCAATAGCAAAAAACCCCAAACAACCCAGTTAAATAATGGCCAAAAGACCTGAATAGACATTTCCCAAAAGAAGACATAAACATGGCCAACAGATATATGAAAAAAAATGTTCAATATTATTAATTATCAAGGAAATGCAAATCAAAATCACAATGAGGTATTGCCTCATCCCAGTTAGAATGGCTTACCAAGAAGACAGAAGAGAGCTTGTTGGCAAGGATGTGGACAAAAGGGAATCTTTTATACTGTTGGTGGGAATATATAGAAAACAGTATGAGGTTCCTCAAAAAAGTAAAAATAGAACTACCATAAGATCAAGCAGTTCTACTATTGGGTATATATACCCAAAGGAAATTAAATGAGCATGTCCAAGAGATGTCTGCATTCCCATATTTACTGCAGCACTTCCCACAATAGCCAAGACATGGAAGCAACCTGTGTCTACTAACAGAAGAATGGATAAAGAAAATTTGGTATATAGTCACAATGGACTATTCTTCACTATTTAAAAAAAAAAAAAAAAAAAAGAAAGAAATCCTACCATTTGCAATATGGATGAACCCAAAGGGCATTATAAACCAGACACGGAAAGACAAATACTGCATGATCTCACTCAAATGCAGAGTCTTAAAAAGTTGATCTCTTAGAAGTAGTGAGTATAATGGTGGTTATCAGAGGCTGGGGCATTTAGCAGGGAGAAGGGGATGGGGAAATCTTGATCAGATGACATAACTACAGTTAGATATCAGGAACAAATTTCAACAGCTCTATTGTATAGCCAGGTGACTATAGTTAATGACAATGTATTGTATTCTTGAAAAATGTAAAATTTGTGGATATTAAGTGCTATCACCACAAAAACAATAACTATGTAAGTTAGTATATTTGTTAGCTAGATTTAACCATTCCACAATGTATATATACTTCAAAACATCATGTTGTACAAAATAAACACATAAAATGTTATCTGTACATTTAAAAAATAAAATATAAAAATGCTTACATTATAGAAAAAAGAGAATGATGCTTCTTTTAAAAGCATGCTTTTAGTTTTAGTTTCACATTTCTGTCTCTCTTACCTCTTGATCTTTTTTAGTTTTTCTTTCTAGAGCCTCAAATTCATCCAAATCATTTTTTTCCTTTAATTTCAATTCCATTTCTTCTTTTTCTCTTTGTAGTTGTTCATAGTCTAATACCAGATTATCATAATTAGCACGAAGTGAGTTCAACTCACTTTCTACATTCTCCTATTATAAACAAGAACAGATTTTCCAATCAGGAAATTCATATAATATATTCTTTGTTTCCTTAACAATGTGTGGATTATTTAAATAACTAATTTAACTTTGATTCAGTATCTTTCTAAAGGCCAAAATTTTGCTAAACTAGCTAACTTAGAATAGATTATTCTGAAAGAATTAGAATTTTAAAAATCTTATCAATAAATTATATGATTGCCTGTGCCTGACAGGGAATTTTGACCATAAATCCTCCAGCTCCACAGTATTAAAACTGATAATTTAATTCCCCAGTCTTACTAACTCCTATTTTATGTCTCAGATGCCTCTGAATTCAGGAATGATAACAGAGATATTGTCTATTGACTTCTAAAACTAATGATAGCTATGTTTAACTATACTTAAAGAGGCCTATTTTTACTTTCTATATTACTATGAGAAAGAGATAAATCATGAGTTAAAAGATACTTTTTTACACCAGAGATTGTAAAAAAAAAAAAACCAAGAATATATGTATTCTAATATATGTCTTAGGAACACAAAAACGCTTTGTCAATAATACTTTACAGGCATAAACTAACAATAATAAGGAGCACTGTAATTATATCTTAAAATTATAATGAAAAATTTTTAAGGCATTATACAACTATATGTCTTTAAACACAAGCAATTTACAAAGTAAACATGAAATCTAAACTTACTACTATATTCACCAAAATTAGCTCTCCCTGATGTATTATTATTCTATACAGTATATATGCCTGAGAATTGAAACTTTTAAAATCAAGTCTTTTTAACCTCATGAAGTTTATCAAGGCAAAACAGAAACTTTACAAACATCATGAATACTAAGATCTGCCAGTAAAGAGCTAGAAGTGAAGGTTTACCTACTAGCACATGTCTGCCTTATGAAAAAATGTTTAGCCTTCCCCTAGATGCCTGATGATTATGCAGTAGATGTGTAAAGAGTGAGAGAAGCCTTCATTAGAGCCAAAATAGTTACTGAAATTAAATGAGAACAAAGAACAACAAAATCTAATAACAAAAGAATTCTAAATAGAGCAAAAGCATTATATGCTGTAAAATACATTATATGCTGTAAAATTAAGTTACCTGATCTCGTAGCTTTGTTGCTGGATTCCATTCTATCTCACTTAATGTATCAAGAGTGTTACTGAAAACATCAGACTCTGAACAGAGAGCTATAATCAGAGAAAAAAAAATTGTCCATAAACATGTTTACCAAATTTCCTAAGTCAAATTAAGGATTACTATAAAAATTCTTATCAGAGGTAATAAGAACTTCAAATTAACTAATACGTGCTCAGAGTATGAATACTAAAAGTACATTAATAGTTGTGGTCATTTATATTATTGTATGAATTAAGATAATCACTGATTGGAATTAGTGATATAATATAGGATCCCTAATGAAATATAGGTTAAAAGGACAAATTCTGAATTTGAGATTTGATCATTATAAGTAGATTTAAAATCCTCCAAAGAGATTGTAATATTTAAGAAATAATTTTGAAACAGATTCCTACATCAATGCCACTTTTTTAAGATTAGCAAAGGCAGATGCCATATAACAATAATTTAATTGAATCATGACTAGAACAAAAATAAAAACACCTGTTTCGTGTGTTTCAACTAGTACATCATTCTTAAGAGATTCAGAGTTAATAAAGAATTTATGAATGATTACTTTCTATTTATTTATTATTTTGAGACAGAGTTTCACTATTAACTCCCAGGCTGGAGTGCAATGGAGCTCAGCTCACTGCAAGCTCCATCTCCCAGGTTCAAGGGATTCTCCTGCCTCAGCCTCCTGAGTAGCTGGGATTACTGGGATTACAGGCGTCTGCAACCATGCACAGCTATATTTTTTTGTATTTTTACAATTACTTATTTAAATCATAATCTCCATTGTAATCACATCTGAAACACACACTATTTAAATATGTTTATCACATTAACTGAGCTGTAAACATAGTTTCTCTTTATAAGGATTTTTTATAATTTAATGTAGTTCTACTTGAAAAAAACACTCACATTCATCAATTTCTCCTAATAAACTTAAAGAAGGCTTGTGTGTTTTTGTTGTTATATTTGCTGAAAAATTAAATTGATCTTCATAGTTTGAGTTCTTCATTTTGTTAATTTTGCCAAGGCACCAAGTAACTCTTCGTTTTCTTTTAGCCTAAAGAAGAAGAAATCGAAATCATGTCATATAGATCTGTGTTCAAAATAATAAAACAAGGGAACTAGTTTCTATTTTTGAAAACCATTGAGTTGGTAGAATTCTTTTTAAGCCAGATTAAAATTTTATTAGTCTAAGGATATTGCTTTTTTTTTTTTAATCAAACTCTTGATTCCTTAATTCACCCTAACTACCATTTTCTTTTTTTTTCCCCTACTTTGTCCTCCTCATCATTTATCCCCTCCTTCCTCAACACTTCAGGGATCCCTGTCTCCTGGTTCTTACCTTACCCAGCTGGCTGTCCTTACTACTCACTCTACTTTGTTTTCTCTTCTTGTGCCTGCCTCTTAAGTGTTTGTGATGATATTTGTATCAAGTATCATCCTTACTACATCTTTTTAACAGATAAGCTGTGTGCCCAACAAGTTTGGAGAAGTTGTATAAGGCTGTATAGCAAATTGGTGACTGAGTCCATGTCTATAACTTCAGAGCCTATCCATACAACATTTCTACCACACTGCCTCTTAAGATTATTTGTTGTCCCCAGAATATACTGCATACTCTTATGCCTCTCTGTGTGCTCTCCTTATCCTTGAAATCGCCAGCCCTTTACACAACCCACTCTGCAAAAGCTGTGTCATATATAAATCCTCGACTCCAAAAACCTTCAGTTTAACACCATTTGCTACCAAAGCCACACCTGGACCTTGTCATTATCTGGAAGTCATAAACCTAGACCTCTTGCTCTGAATGCAGTTGCTATCCTTCCAACTCACTGATTTAGTTAATGCCACTATAGCTATTTATCTTATCTGGGGCTATTAAGCTCTATTCCGTTATTGCATGACATTTTTTTTGCCATCTCTCTCTTGGTTCTCACCCTACCATCTTAGATTTCATAGACCATCACTGCAATCATGTTTGAAATCTGAGGTCAATGTTATCAGATTATTTGACCCATTCTCTGCACCCCACAGGGCAGTCAAATGACATTGTGTTCTAGACCTTTATCAGCCTCCTGAGCACTGCCAGTGCCACAGAGCCAGAAGACAGGCTGAGAAGATAAATTGGATTTTTAATGCTGTGAAGCAACACTCCTCACTCCCTTTCAGCTTTCTTTTTCATACCTACAAAGGCTAGACTATTTCAAACCCTTAGTATCTCTGCAAACTTATCACTATCATCGCCTGCCATCTCAGCAGAAAAATTAAACCTATTTCACAAAGAAAATATTGGCTGCCATCTCAGCAGAAAAATTAAACCTATTTCACAAAGAAAATATAAACCTAAACTTCTAAGAGCGCCACCTGCACAGAGGCCTATCCTTTCCTCTGTGTTTGCTACAATTCAAGAGGTGTCTCTCCTCCTACGTAAGCCCAATTCTTTCTACTACATTCAAGATCCCACCCATCTGGGCCACCTGAACACACTGTAAGGTGGCTTTCACCCCACCACTTAACTCAAATTACTTTTGCAAATGAACTCTGTATTTCTAAATGCAAAGAATTTTTGTCCATCTTGATCTTATTTAACTTCTTAGCACAATATGACAACTGCTGACCACTACTTCCCAGAAACATTCTCTCCCCTTAGCTACCATATTCACTAGGTTTTATTCTTCTCTAGAGCTAAACTCAGGCTTCTTTATGGATTCTTCTTTCTTGGCCTTTACCCAACTGGATTTTTCCTTCTGTTACTTTGCCTTCTGTTCCCTTCTCTCAACATGCAACCAGAACAAACTTTAATTTGGATCAGTAGTAGCTCATGCCCAAATTGATATTTATATCTTTCTACCTCATATTCACACATTTGCATTTTACTGCCTGACTTCTCAAACAAAAGAAATCCCAAATAAAACACCCACCATTTCCACTGTTCTTTATTCAGTGTTCCTTAACTCAACCAATATTGTTACCAGCTACCCAGGAAGTCAAGCAACGCTTGCAAGTCATTGCAGACACCTCCTTCTCTCTTTCCCCGCCTCCAACATCCAAATAATTGCGAAGCCCTGCTATGTTTATCTTCCAAACATTTCTCCAATTTATCGAATTTACTCCAACTCCAGCATCACAATCTTTGCAGGCCCAAGCAATCTAATGTTCACAGCAGCTACAACTTTCTCAACTATAATTATGATGCCACATACAAGGCTGTTCTTTGTTGTTAGCAAAATGTCACATTCAAATCCCTCAAAGGGGTTTAAAACACCCCTGCTACTAGAACATCTTAAGTTCAAGGAATTCATCATGTTTCTTCACAACTCCAAGCTTTTGCACATGTAGGTCTAGTCCTGAAACATTTTTCTCTAGGCCATTCATTGGACTATTTCCTGCTCACCACTTAATCAATAATTCTTGATTTTCTTCTGTATATCTAGTATGGTGACTTGTACATAATGCTTATTCATAACACTAATAATGTACATTTGTTGAGAATATGCTGTGTGGAAAGTTCTGTGTTAAGCTAATTCTACCTATTATTTCATTTAATTCTTGCATAACTCTTATGAGGTGAGTATCGAGCTATTCCACACTGCTACTTCCACAGGAAACAGCAGAAAAGTGAATTCAAGAAATTGACCAAGGCCAAGAGTTAGGAAATGACAAATTCAAATCCAGGCAGTCTAGCTCCAGAGGTCATCCTCTTAATCATGACACCCTCACATTCCTAAAAAAAAGTCTATTGAATAAATAAATTCCTACTCAATTAAAAGAATTAAAAACAAACAAACCACACAAACTGTTCACTGTTGTTTTTATTTCTTTTACCGGACTCTACATTGACACAACTATGCAACTATGTTGTTTTATATTCTACATCAATTTTCCTGAGTTTAATATTTCTGTTTAAGTAGAAAACAATATTCTCACATATCCTAGAAACCTGTGGCTTATAATCACCCAGTTTCTTTAAAATTTATTAAGCAGCATATTGCAAATAAATTATTTAAATATATTCCAAACTTCTTGAATTAGAATCTCTACAGTTGGGAACCAGAAATTGGTATTTTTAATGAATCTCTTAGGTACTGTGAAAACACAAAATGTTCTGAGTTTCTTGAATACACTGTATCAAAGTATAGAAAGTGCATAACTATATAATAAACATACCGAAATACCAATTCTATTCACTGTACATCCAGTTTAAGCTGTCATCTTTTAAATTTTACCTTTAATTCCTGTTGCGACGTGAGGGAAGAAGAGGTCACCAGCATCCGTGTTAAATTTTCAATTTTCTCATTCTGTACTTTCTGAAGCAAATCTTTTTCTTCTAAAAGTTGGGCTAATTGGTCTTTTTCCATTGCCTGAGCCCGTGTCTCTAAAGAAACCTATAGAATGCAATATTGAATTATGTTAATAAATGTGGATAAGTTTTAAAACCTTAAAAGTAGCATAAAAGAATATTAAATTTGTATATAAACTACAAGAATTTTAATTTCACCAAAATAATAAACTCTAACTGCAGAACACCAAAATTAAGTTACCATAATCAATAATTTCTCAAACTTGCAATAAAATACACATTTCTTCCATGTAACTATTCTATATACCATGTAAAAGACAATGGTGCTGTTAATGTAACTCTATGAATTGCCTAAGAAGATATGAATAGGCAGAAGTCACAAAACAAAGACTTGATTCCAATAGTAAAGATAGAGATGTTCTCAGAAGATTACCATCATGCATTTTAGCTCATTTTAAAAAAAAGATCATTAACACATGATTTCTACAAAATATGGGACCATGATGGTTAAAACAAACTAAAATGATAAGTAATTATGCTATATTATTAGATTGCTACCTAAAGGTTAGAAGAGGAATTCAGGATAACATGAAAATACAGAAAGTAGTTCTAGTAACTCTGTGTAGTTTCTCTTTTTAACCAAATTCATATGTATTTGTGAAAATTTTTAAGAAGTATCTCTGTTTGGCCCATTTGATAATCTCAGATTTTGCCCTTTAAAAATAAAAAAAAACAAAATCTAAAATAATTTCAGGAACCAAATCTTACATTTTATAGTAAATTAAACTAAATTTTTTGAGGGGATTTCTTCTTGTTAAAAGTGATTTAAAACAAGTTGTAGCAACTCAGACATTCTGGAAATAAGAGTCTCTGAGCACTTGGGCAGGTCTCCATTCTTAACTGGTTCCTTCTATTTACTGAAATAAATGGTTCATACATACCTCCTCTAGTTGTTTTTTAAGATCCATTATTTCTTTTCTATACCTTTTCAGGAGAGCTTCATCACTTGATACCTCATTAACATAAGGAGTATTCTTCATATATTTAGCAGTACTGGCAAACTGGAAAAAAATGCAAAAGTGCTAAGTGTCCAACACTAAAAAAAATTATAATTTAATTAATAATATTTAGCTCTCTCATATTCAAGTGAAAAAAAATCAATAGTCTTTCCAGTTGGCTTAATATTTTTGAACAAAGAGAACATTTTAAGTCCCTATAACAATGCTCTGTTACTTACCCTGGCTAATAGGCTTCAGGAGAATAAAAAAGGTATCTTGAGAGAACTTAAAAACATCAGCTTATTGGAATCCAATTTACCCCTCAAGGTCCAGTGCTAACACTTCCTCTACTCAAGTTTTGCTTCTAGCCAAAAATGTCTCTTCTTCTTTTAAACTCTATACTAGTTACCAGTTAACTACTAATCCAAGGCAATTATGTTGCAAGACAAGTGTTAATTGCCTTGTCACAGAATTCATTAATTCTGTTAAGCCAGGAACTCTAGTTTCTCTTTGCACCTCTGACAGTACCTTGATCTGGTACTCAACAGCTATTTAAAGCAATGTTTCTCAGAGTATAAGTACCATAAGTAACTTTAGGTGGTACATGACGGTGACCATTAGATAACACTGAATCCTTCATTGAGAAAGCTACCCCTACTGACGTTTCTCATTTTTCCTTTCCTTTTTTTTGTTTTTTGTTTTTTTTTTTAAGACGGAGTTTTGCTCTTATTGCCCAAGGGTGGAGTGCAAAGGCGAGATCTCGGCTCACCACAACCTCTACCTCCCAGGTTCAAGCAATTCTCCTCCTGCCTCAGCCTCCTGAGTAGCTGGAATTACAGGCATGTGCCACCATGCCCAGCTAATTTTGTATTTTTAGTAGAGATGGGGTTTCTCCCTGTTGATCAGGCTGGTTCTTTTCCTTTTTAAAACACAAAACGTAGGCCTTAGACTCAGAGCGAATGAAGGCAATAGTTAACTACCAGGAGTTTCAGAATTATTTTGTTATACAGACAGACACACAATTTTTTTGTTACCTTCTATTTGTGGCAAGTAACAATAGTTTGTCATTGATAGGACTGATATTAAAGTTTCCTTTTACAATAAATTAAGTACAAAAAGTGAGTAATTTTTAAAAAATTTCAAGTCAATTTCAGTAAAATATTGTTGGATGTGGCAAAAATGGTGAAGGTAAGATACAAACAACTGAAGTCTGGCAAAATTAAATTAAGAAATGCTATTTAGTAGACAACAGGTATGCTAATTGATTACAACAGGTATGCTAATCAATTTAAAAAGCTACGACAATTTTAGTAGGTAATTTTTTCTTCTTCAAGTTGATCTTCTCCCATATTAAGTTGAGGTAAAAATCAAACTCACCTGGAGAGTAGTAAGGGTTTCATCGAAAGATACTGGAGTAATTGTGCAGATAATACGTGTCTTTGCATTTCCTCCCAAGGAATTCTGGAGAATTCGTGTTAACTTGCTATCTCGATAATTTATGAAACCACTGAGTAAGGAATAAGTTTATGGGAGAAAAAGATTGAAAATGTTTATATAACAAAGTAGTTGGTTTTTAATGCAAAACAAATCAGCCACAGTTTCAAAAATTAGTTCTTTACAGATTTTATGAGGCATATTAAAACTACTAAATAAAGCATATTTAAAATAGAAAGTAAAATCAGTAGACTATAGCCATATGTATAAGCTTTTGAATATATGGAAGAAATCAGTACATGTTAGTGTCAATGAAATCTTGCAATTTTCAACCTAATGAAAAATATAAAAATTAGTAGGTAAGTGCACAACAGGATAAACTTACCCAACCTGTCCATCACTAAGTTTCTTGATCACTTGTCCCAAAATAAATAAGCTTCGATTTATATTACAGCCTTCCTTCAGCCGCACACCTGAATTAAACAAATATGAAAACTAAACTTGTCTCCTTTTCTAGATGATAAATTTATTTATCACTCAGTTAATGAGAGAAATTAGAGGGCAGATGCCAAAGTCTATGCTCTGGATTAGACCTGAGTCCATCTTTAATATCAGTGGTAGAGGGAGCTCCCTCCCGATTCGCCCCACCTATTCAAATGAATCAGAAAGGTTATCACCTGAGAAAAACAGAAAGAAAAAAACGAGAGAGGGAAGAATGCTGTTTTCTAAAAGAGCTTCTCTAGCTCTTCAGTTCAAATCAATTTTTTTTAATGTCTAAATATAGGCAACTATGGAATTACAACCATATTAGCTTCTAATTTCTTATTTTTAAATTGTTAATATGCTCACATGGTTCAAAAAGTTTTTTAAAAAGTATACTTTGAAAAAGCTCTCTTCCACTTTTATCCCCATTTAACCAGTTCCTGTACCTCTACCAGGAAATCATTATTAGTTTGTTTATTCTTTAGAGATTTTTAAACATACAAGTTCATATATAGTTATTTCCTTCCTTCCTTATTGATATCAATAGTAACAGACCATACATACTATTTTGCACTTTGCTTTTTTTCACTTGGCAACATATCATGGAAAAATTTCCATATCCGTAAACACTGATCTTTTTCATTCTTTTTTAAAGTATAAAATCCCATTTTGTGGCTGCATCGGACTTCATTCACCCACCCCATACCCTGTTGAAGGACATGTATGTTTTCAATCTACTGCCCATACAAAAAAATACTGCAAAAAAAAAAAGCCTTTGAACAGCTGTTATTTCACATGTGCCTTAGATATAAGCTTATTTATCATTAAGTTAATGAGAGAAATTAGAGGGCAGATGCTAAAGTCTATGCTCTGGATTAGACCTGAGCCCATTTTTAATATTAGTACCAGCGGTAGAAGGAGCTGTCTCCCTATTTGTCCCACCTATTCAAATGAACAGTTTAGTTAGCTTTGCTGTAACATTACCACCGAACCAACCAGCTAAAATAAGCATTTATTTTTTGTTCACAGGTCTGAGGATGGGCTGGTTTGGTGGATGTAGGCAAGGCTCAGTTGAGTGGCCCTACATTAGGCTGCAGAATGAGCTCAAGTCTGTTGCACAAACTTCTCATTTTCCTTGGATCAGCAGCTCTTCTAATGACAAGAGTGCAGGTGCAAGCGAAACCATTTAAGCATTATGAACTATTCATTATATCCTTTGCACAGTTTTTTGCTGGTTTCTTTTAAGCTTTTCTTTTAAGGCATCTAGACTTTGTATCAGTTAGTTACACGAGGGTTTTCCCACTGTAAGTTGACTTACAATAATTTTTACATTGAAATTTTTGAGCGACTTATAATGCATTTCTTGGTGTATGATATATGGATCCAACTTAATTTTTTTTCCAAATGGCTATCAATTAATGAATAATCTATCTTTTCTACACAAATCTGACGGACCACCTTTATTGTATTCCAAGTTCTGTATCTGGGACTCTTGCTGGATTTTCTATTCTATTCTACCAAGCTGACAATTCACACAGTTTTAATTACTATGGCATTATAATATGTTTCACAATCTTATAGGGCTGAATTCCACTTTCTGCTCTTTTTTGGAATTTACCTGGTTACTCTTGTCTGTTTTTATGTTTCCATACATATTTTAAAATCATCTTACCTACTTTAAACATGAAAATGTACTCTTGGTATTTTTTATAGGATTGTGTTAAATCTAGAAATAAACACATAGAGGGCTGACATCCTTGTGAGTTTGAATCTTCCCCATCTAAGTATGCCTCTCCATTTTTTCAAGTATTTGATGTGTCCTTCAAGTCTGATTTAAAGTTTCCTTAGGCCAGGTGTGGTGGCTCATGCTTGTAATCCTAGCACTTTGGGAGGCCAACGTGGGCAGATCACTAGAGGCCAAAAATTCAAGGCCAGCCTGGCCAACATGGTGAAACTCCATCTCTACTAAAAATACAAAAATTAGCTGGGTGGGGTGGTACATTCCTAAAATCCCAGCTACTTGGGAAGCTGAGGCATGAGAATTGCTTGAACCCAGGAGGTGGAGGTTGCCTGAGAGACAGAGTGAGAGCCTGCCTCAAAAAAAAAAAAAAAAAGATTTTCTTTACATTAGTCTTGTACAATCTTGGTGGAGTTTCTTTGTTGAGTTTCTTCCTAGGTATTACATCTTTTAAGTTATTATAAATGGAATCTTTGTGTCTATTAAGTATTTTAGCTGGCTTTTGTTTATTAATATTTTAACTGGTTATTAATAGCTGTATATTAATTTTATACCCCATTATCTTCCTTAATTTCCTTACTTTGAAAGTTTGAACAGTTTTTATGGAACTCTCATGGGTTTTCCTGCTATACAGTCCTATCAATTGTATAATTTTAATTTTTAAACTGATGCTATAGTAAAAAATTAACCAGATACAGATGCTGATTTCTATGTTAAAGACTTTTATTAGAAAATAATCACTAATAAATAATACTGATTTGTTATTAACAATGAATATTATTACTTTATCCTTTTCTAAAAATGCCTGGTAGTAATTTTTAATCCTGTAAAATAGGAATACATTAAGATTAACATATTTCACCTAATGTAGATGATGAGTTGATGGGTGCAGCAAACCACCATACCACGTGTATACCTATGTAACAAACCTGCACATTCTGTACGTGTACCCCAGAACTTAAAGTATAATAATAAAAAGACTAACACATTTCATATTTCATGACTTTTCATTACCTTCAGCTCCTGTTTGAGCAGCTCTTTCACTGCCTGCAAGATCAACCAAATTCTGTAAGATAGATAAAAATAAATATTTAGGGCAGATAATTTGCAATAAGAAAACTTGAACTGAAAGAACATTTTTTAATACACGGTATATCTGAATATTCTATCTGTATACATGTCTCCATGCTACTGTTTAGGCATTACCTTTCTTCTCTGAGTCAAACTGCTCTTATCTGTTCTTTTCTTTGTATCTTCCATAACGCTGCCAGTATAGGTTCTGTTTCCCACACAAACTCCAAAAATTTACCATGGCAAATATAATTCTTTATAAGCTGTCACTTGCATTGCTCCAACTTTATATCTATTCATCCCTTATTATTACCTCTAGCTGAACTATCCACTATTCCCCAAACACCCCATGTACTTCTATACCTCCAAGCACCAGCTTTTTGCGTTTCCTTTATTCAGTTAGTTCTAATGTTCTAGTCTGTCCTTATTCTTTATTTAAGAGCCAGGCACAAAGATTACCTGCTCAATGTAGGTTTGCCTACTTTATCCTTCCTCCCCTCTGGATCTCCGATGAACTGCTCCTTGAACTGCATTACCAGAACTCTTTACAAACATGACTTAAAGATACAACTTAAATTTATAGCACTGATTTTGTTGGGCTAGTCATCTATGCTAGCTGTGCTATGCTGTAGCAATACCATGACTTTACTATAGCATCTTTAAGAGCTGGACCTCTCTTTCATTTCACACATATTATTGAAAAGAAGTGACTACTTATCATGCTCCAGGCAGTGTATTAGGTGCTAGGGCTACAAATAAATAAAGTCTCTGCTCTTATGGAGCTTACAATCTACATAGAGGAGGCTGGTGAGAAGAGATAAAAAGACAAGAAACATGTTGTGATAAGTGTAACAGAGACTACCTAAAAATAGAGCTGGAAGAGGGACTAGCAGGTTCACTGGATTGGATGGCAGTGGAAGGCTTGTCATTAAGCTGAGGTCTAAATGACAAGAGAAGAGGAAGCTGGTCCCAAACAGATCAAGGGAAACAGTAGCCCAGACAAAAAGAATAGCCAAAAACACTGTCACAAAGCAGAACGTGCTCAGTGTGTTCAAAAAAATAGAAAAGGCAGTGTGACACAATTGGTGAAGTGAAGACAGTAAAAGACAGAATAAGAGCAGCAGACAGGGGCCAGATAACATAGGACTTTTAAAGTAAGATCAAGAACTCTGAAATGTCTAAATTAAATGAGAATCCATTGCAGGGCTTTACACAAGGGAGTAATACAGCCCTGCATATAGCCCTGCAATGGCTCCCACAATGGATCCACTATGACTACTGGGTGGAGGATGGATTGGGAAGGGGCAAAAGCAACAGCAGGTAGCCCCATCAGGCGGCTGGGGCAGGAATCAGTGACAGATAATACCAGCTTGGGTTAGGGAGATGACAGGGGAAATTGCAGCAGTGGAGAGATTTCTTTTTTTTTTTTTTTTAAATCTCAGAGCCCAACACCATGCTCAGAATACCATAAAGGTTTAGTAAACATTGTGAGTAAATTAAAAGAAAGTCAAAGCTTTAAGTTATTTCTCTCTGTGGAGGTTTCTGAGACTAGGCAGGTAAATATGTATTACTGGTTTAAGGAGTCTAATTTTTCTTGCACAGTGTCCACTACAGATGACATAGATACATAATAAAAAGGCAAAGTGTTAATGAAGGCAGCATGAGTGAAGGTTAAAGATGAGAATAGACATTCATATTCAAAGATATTCAGAGGCCCAATCTATGAGGGAGGAGTTCATGTGGAGCAGAAGGAAATAAAGTTAGATTGGTTAAGAGTGGCCAAATCTTGTCCCAGGAAGTGATACTACAAAAGCAGTGGTTAGTATATTAGAAATCCATATGATGACTTCAAGACACAAAGACAAGAGTCATGGAGACCAGGTTCCAGGAGACTGATGTAGTCATTTAAGAGAGATGAGAAAGTAAATGAGTGTAACACCCAGGGGAATGTTCAAAGGTAGGATCAATAAGAAATGGGACAACTGGACAGAGAAAGGCAGAAAGAGTTGAGTCAAAATTGACTTGGGTGTCCAGCTTAGGCAGCTAGAATAATGCCGATTTTACTGGAAATAAGGAGTATTCACTATGGTCAGAAGAAAATAGTTTGGTTTTAGACATATTAATGTTTCAGATAATGACGGGACACAGTTATAACCATCTTTAGGAAGACATGAATTAAAATTCAGAGGCTAGATAAATATTTGGCAGTCATCAACATGAAAATGATGATAGGATGTGTGAGAGTAAGAACTTAATTAAGAAAGGCCACAGGATATCTCCAAATTTTTTATTTTTATTTTTTTAGGAGGGTAAGGAAAAAGCTGCCAGGGTAGAAAACAGGGACGTAGAGCTAAGAGAACCTGGATATTATCATCTCACCAAGGCCAAGAGATAATCAGAGAAGAGCCACTTCTAAAGAGCCAGAGATGACTCGTTAGGGCAGACTTCTTTCCAAGAAGATTCTTAGAGTAAGTGGGTAGGCTGGAAGTTTGGAACAGATGGACCATGGATAACCAGAGCATCAAGAAACATGAGGAAAATCATCAAGTAGATCACTGAATATTCCAAGAGTATTAAAACTCAATTATTAAATTAAAATTATATGAAATATCACAGTCTTGGGTGAGAAAACAAAACAGGTTAGGTTTTGGTTTTTTATTGTTAAAACAAGATTAAGATCTACTATAGTAAGTTATACCATTTTATAGAAAAATGGCTAAGGTGAAATTTGGATCGAATATTAATTAATAATCTAATTTTATAAAATCTAAAAATGAATAAACATATAGATTGCTTGTTTCCCTGAAGTTTTCTAATCAAATAATCTTAAATCATATCCCACATCAAGCTAAAGAATTTAGGTCCTAAAGATGTGGAATAAACCAATATGGTAAATGACAGAAAAGGAGCAAGAAAGAGACAGTAATAATTTAGTGTGGCAAAAAGGAAGTGGGAGGTTTACTTATGTGGAATATAGGAATGTTGCATAATGCTTATATTCACTTATTTAATAAATATTAGATATAAAATAAGTACAATGTGTTGGGGCTACAAGGATGAATGCAGTATCACTCCTCAATGGATTTACAGTCTAAAATACTACATTTATAATACAAAATATATTTTCTTATTTTACTTAGGTAAAACTAAAATAATGTGATTACTTTTTAACCATCCCTCCTAGATTTCTGTTCATCACATAAGTCTAAGTTATATTGGCTGAGATTTTTTTTAAAAAACCCTCAAATTCCAAGATGACTTAAATTGTTAAATGTATAATAGAAAAAATCCTATTTCATTAGTGGTTAGAAAAAAACATCAATTCCTATAGCCCTGACACTTAAATTTTAGGAGATAGCAGCCATGATATAACAGGAAGAAGAACCTTTGAATTTGTCGCACAACATTTCAGCTAGGAATTTGGTGATACTGACAAGACTAAGCAGACCATTTGTAGATCTCCTTTCACATTTAGTTCAGTTAACAGTTCTTATTAAACCAAACATCCAGCAGCTACATTAAATTTTGTTTTGGCCCATACAGTACATTATTGTGGTTCACTAATACTCACCAAATGGGATACCTTAACAGATCCATCACAATTAGAAGGTTCACCCTTTTCTCTACTTTCCAAAATCTAGATAGAAAAGGTAAGTTGTAGAAAAATTAGTGCGTTCTTACTTGGAAAGATCTAATAGAAAGAGAGAATTACCTACCATCCTAAAGATGGTATGAGAACGACTGCTTCTTTGATTCATTTTTGTTTCTCCATAATGTCTGTTCTCTGTAAAAATGAGTTACATTTCAGCTGCATATATATTAAAATCCAAAAAAAACAATTTTTATTTTAACTTAAAAAAGTTGTGATTTGAAGCCTAAACACACTTGATTGAAAAGATAGTTTCTTTTAAAACAAGTGTTTTAAAGAAATACAGTATAAAGTCTTACTTTCTCCCTTTGTAATCCATTTCAAAACCATTTCTGATGTATACACAACTTCTTCTGTGAGATCAGCAACATACACATTCCTCTGAAACAAGTTTAATTATGGAAAGATTAGAGAAATAGAAGTCACAAGTTTGCTTTTCAAAAGAGGGTACAAACTATTATAGAATTCATTTGTGAAAGTTAAAAGTGGAAAATGGGCCGGGCGCGGTGGCTCACGCCTGTAATCCCAGCACTTTGGGAGGCCGAGGCGGGTGGATCACGAGGTCAAGAGATCGAGACCATCCTGGTTAACATGGTGAAACCTCGTCTCTACTAAAAATACAAAAATTAGCTGGGCATGGTGGCGTGTGCCTGTAATCCCAGCTACTCAGGAGGCTGAGGCAGGAGAATTGCCTGAACCCAGGAGGCGGAGGTTGCGGTGAGCCGAGATTGCGCCATTGCACTCCAGCCTGGGTAACACGAGTGAAACTCCGTCTCAAAAAAAAAAAAAAAAGTGGAAAATGGAACCATAATTCTGTAGTAATATAACTAGTAATTCTATGAATACCCACAATGTATTTCATATATCAAAGCACACCAAATTGTAACCTGATACTTCCATCTTGCTATTTTTACACTTAAACTAAAATATTAGAGCTGTATTTTAAAACTATACATATTGTTTAAAAGATGAATCTCTACAAATACTTCAAAAAACCCCCCACATACTATAGAAATAGGAGACACTTTAAAAACTATAGAAATTAAAGGTAGACATTCAAGAACAATAATCCCAATAAGTAAGCCAATTTTAAAGCCCCCTTAGGTCTGCTACTCACATTGACATCTTCTCGAATAATTAAAGGCTTCATTTTGTTAGTGCCGCAGAGTAAATCTGTAATGGTTTCATTGTATATTTCCATGTAAGATACACGTAAGAGAAATTCCCTATCAGGAAACTAGGAGAAAAAAGTTATGTAAAAACACAGGAAGCAACCAATTGTGAAAAGCTAATACTAAAACCTGCTTAAAGAGGTTAAAAAAAAAAAGTCTGTAAAATAAACTAAGAAAACCCTTGGTTCTAATGTTGACAAAATAATAAACACAAAAATATAAAATAATTAAAAGTACCATAAAGCTAGGAGAACACCAACTCTCTAGGCTCAAAATAAAACCCCATCAAAAGATGTTCTTATTTTAATAAAAATGTTAATTTAAAACCAACTCTTAACTAATTAGGTTGCCTATTCTGGCTTTCTGCTTCCCTTCTGTTTTTTTTAACCTATATCTACTTTTTACTGTTCCTTTATAATCACTGATAGTTAAATGGTTAGGTGGAGCTAACCATTCTGATAAAATTTTCTTGTTCCTTAATGCCTACTTTTTGTTGAGAGTATTACTGTTGCAGAATTCAAGGGAAAGAATACAAGAACTTGAAGCTTTATAAAGTAAGTTGTGGGGATAAAAGTGAATCTATGCTATGCCCTTCTTCTTTCCTCATCGATAATCAAACAATAACTATAAATCTACTTCCTTTCATCTTTACAAGATAAATAAACTGACTGGTACCCAGTTATTACTACTTTCACCTGTATGTACTAAAAATCCAGTTAAGTTACTTACCTTCTTAATTTTTTGGAAAATATCATGAATTGCCCTGGGTATAACTCCCAAATGATCTTCTGAACCCATCATAGTATACGTTTTTCCTGAAGCAGTCTGCCCATAGGCAAATATGGTACCTGCAAAAACCAAAACACACATATGCAAAGATTAAAAACAAATCTATAATGAGTAAAACAATGCATACTTATTGAATAGATAACCAACACCAAAATGTTTCTCCAGCATCGAGTGAATACAAACCATTGTAGCCTTGTATGGCAGAATCGATGATTGGTGCTGCTATTTCTTCATACACATTTTTGGTAGTTTCATTACTATGAAAGACACGATCTAAACAACAACAACAACAACAACACAGAAGTTAAACCAAATGAATCAACTGTGTTTTCATTCCGAATTAGCAGTTATTCCCAAAAGTAAAATCGTCAGAATGTAGAATGATCAAATATAAGACACAGTATTTTAATTTTTTGGTTCTCTGAAAATATCCTTCCCTAAGGCAAAATGAGTTCATCTTGAAACACAAAAATTACACTATAAGTCAACTTTTCTATTTCTTTCAAGAGGCATAGTGTTTGCACATGGGGGTCTGGAATCTATCTAGATGCAAATTAGACAACTGTGATTATAACTTTTAAATACTAATTGGTTACCTCACTTAAATACATGGTGGATAAACAACTTTGTTTCCAGTGAAGCAGTTTATAGAAGGTTTAGTCTAATCTATAGTGAGAAACCTGATATTATTGACAAGCCTTTTGTACTTTTAATAGCAAAAGGATAACAAGCTAACTTTTGATGCTATTATAAGCTTACCAAAATTGAAGGATTTACTTCCATCAACTTGATAAATGGCATTATTGTCAGTTTTCCAGTAAATTTGGGCAGTTTCTCCAAGTGATTCTTCTCTAAAATAATAAAAACACTGCATTTTAACCAGTCATAGAAGTCATGTCATAGGAGGGATAATTTAAAAGATTTCATCTTCTAAAGAATATTTTGAAAGATAGTAATATGAAAATGACAGAAAGTCCATCTTTGAGGATTCAACACTCTCAAATGGAGCTTCAGTGGCCTGCCTTCTCATGTGTTTTCTTGTGAAGGCTTTCATTCTCACGGTCTCCCCGAGTACTGGTAAATGAATGGATGGATTCAAAATGCAACTCTGATTATGTCTGTCTTGCTTAAAATTCTTAAAACCTTTTGGAAACTTATGAAATCCTCAGCTTGGTACACGAGTCCTAGATCATTTCATTTCTCTCTTCACTTTCCTCTGAATTCCTAGATGCATCCTAAGCTCCACCTGAAGGTCTTCCCTAAATGACAGATGTAACCTCTGTGTGCCTGGAATAGTGACTTTCCTTTCCATAAAGTAACACAGCCATTATTTCACTCATGAAAATCGTCAAGACTTTGCTGACACCAGTTCACCCCACGGAAGCGGTCATCTCTCTGATGGGCTAATGACTCCTCTAGCAAACACTCTCCACCTGCCCATGATAACACTTGTCACAAGGTATCCTAATGGTTTCTTTATGCAGCGGTTGAAGGCATTAGATAATGAGCTCCTCAAAACATAGGAAATTCCTGATCTTGGTATTTGCATTTATTAATCCCCATGTTAAAGAAAAATTTCTCACACATGCAAATTGTTAGCATTTTGGGTCGAGGGCCAGAAGCTAGCGAAGCAAACCGACTTCATTTACTCCTTTTCCTGCTTTTTCTCCACAGCGTTTATTACTTACATGTCACCATTTAACAACCTACATTTTAAACTTTATTTTCTGCCTCGCCCCATTAGAATGGAAGATCCACTGGGCAATGACGGGAGTGTCTGTGTAGTACAGGACAAAGTACTAAAAAACAATATTGATAAATATTTGTAGAATGAAGTCTTGAGTGACGACTGAACGCAATGTGACAGACCGACTAGTCCTCGTCCTCAGGGAGTCTGGAGACAGCAGTTACATGTAAAATGACTAAGTGTGATGAGGGCCAGGAAGGCACAGTCCCTACGACTTCTCCAGGGTGGGGAATGGGGCAGGGAGGAGCAGATGAGGCGAGGCAGAGCAGCGCAGAGGGGAAGGTCGTTAAGGTCAAGGAGACTGAGTTAAATTTAAGTGCACGTCGCAGCGGGGAAGTATCTTCTAGATCTCTGATCCTCCCCTGTCACTTTAAAGACGTAGAAATCATGGCCAGAAGCCGAGTTACTAGACAGCAGAGCCGGGAAGCAGCGGCTCCTAAAAACGCCGCAGGCTTCGCCTCTACGGCTCAAGGCGGCACTGCAGGCCCAGCGGACACTGGGCTGTGGTGTGGCCCCCCTACCTGCTGTTCAGCGGCCGCACTCGCACGCAGACGGCCACAGCTCCTTCCTCCGCCATCCTGTCAAGCTGAAGAGGTCCCAAGAAAATGGCCAAGACCCTCCGCGGCCAGCGATCCAGGGCTCACGGGCCGCCCCGCCTTTAAATTTAAAATTTCCCAAACGCCGCATCTGATTGAGCCGTGGCCTCATGACGTCATGGGCCGTTCCACCTGCGGCGCGGCGCGGGGGACGCGAGGCGGGCGGCGCGACCACCGCTAAACAGGAGAGGGGGATTTAAAGGGCCCGTTGAGAGCCGGAGGAGGGAGTGGCTTGGAGGGGCTCCCGGGAATGGGTGGAGAGCGGTGGTCCTCGAATACCAGAATACATCTGCCAAAAGCTAGCGAACGTCATCCTCCGCCCCATTCTTAAAGCGTTTGCAACCTGTAGATGAAACTAGGTAGAGACACATGTATTTTTCGCTACCAAAACAGAATTGCAGTCCTTTAAGGAAACTGCACCAACAGTTTAAAATAAACTTCAAACATCAAGAGTTGAAACTCACTGTCCAGTCCAGAAACGTGACAAGCCTGTTGTGCGCCTTAGAAAATCTGCTTAGGCCTTTCTTTCTTTTTTCTTTCTCGCTCTCTTTCTTTCTTTCTCCTTCTCTCTCTCTCTCTCTCCCTCCCTCCCTCCCTCTCTCTCTCTCTTTTCTTTCTCTTTCTTCCTTTCTCTCTTTCTTTCTTTCTCTTTCTTCCTTTCTCTCTTTCTTTCTTTCTCTTTCTTTCTTTTCTGCAACTCCTTTCCATTAGCTGTGGCTTCCCAATACGTTGAATTAGGGAAAAGAATTACTGAGGACTCTGAGGACTGAAAAACTCATTGAGTAATGGGTCGATACTTTTTTTTTTTTTTTTTTTTTTTTTTTTTTGAAGGCGGAGTCTCTGTTGCCCAGGCTGGAGGGTAGTCTTGTTATCTGGGCTCACTGCAACCTTTACCTCCTGCTTTCAATCGATTCTCCTGCCTCAACCTCCGGGGATTACAGGTGCCCACCACCACTCTCAGCTAATTTTTGTATTTTTAGTACAGACGGGGCTTTGCCATGTTGTCCAGGCTGATCTCAAACTCTTGACCTCAGGTGATCTGCCTGCTTTGGCTCCCAAAGTGCTGGGATTACAGGTGTGAGCCACCGCTCCTGGCCTGGGTTGTTACTTTTATTAACTGAAAGGGAAAGCTATTCTAAATACGGTATTTTTTTTTTTTTTTTTTTTTTTTTG